TTCATAAATGAAATAAAGCCATAACAAACACTGATGCAGAGTAAAATGAATTCATTTTATTTCGTGGTTTCTCATCAACTGCTTACAACTATATATGTATTAAAAGTTAACATTGAAGTAAGATATAGTGTGAAACAATTGACATAGATGAATGAACATAATTAGAATGATAAATACTATATATATATTGGAATCCCCAAAACATTATGGGCGGGTGACGCATTAATTAAGTGAAGTTCAGAAACAAATAAGATAAATTGTGTGATAATTTTAGAAGTTATAAAGGGTTTACATAAGATTCCTGGGGTTAAAAAACTGATAAGATGGGTTGCGTAATAAGTGAACAGGATTTGAAGAGTTTACATAACTTAAGAGAACTAAGTGAATGGAAATGTTTGAGCGAAGGGGTGATTTTAATGTATATAAAATAAGAATTCGGTAAGGGAAGACCACATAACAAAATGAACACAAAATAAAACTCATGACCAAAAAATGATTTTATCAGAAGGGGTTTTGTGGAGATTCCAGAAATTTCACTGATTGACATCATGAGCCAATTGAAGCTAGACCACCATGGAAAACGGCCGTTCCGCCCTAGTGTAAGACTTCTCAACAGTGCGCATCCACGACCCCGCACCCCGCGAGATTCGAACCCAGGAGCTATCAGTCTCGCACCAGGGCTTAACCAACTAGACCAACTAGTCCAACGGTGTGCTGATAGATCCTGGGTTCGAATCTCGCGGGGTGCGGTATTGTGGATGCACACTGCTGAGGAATCTCATACTAGGACGAGACGGCCGTCCAGTGTTTCCAGGTTTTCCATGGTGGTCTAGCTTTAATTGACTCATGATTTCAATCAGCGAAAAATGATTTACTAAGGTAGTAATAGGTTTATTACCATCTTTTGTTGGATACATACATTAGATTTGAGTTTTTCATCGCTCTTGCTTCAGCAAACCGAAGGGATGCTGGGCTTCTTTGTTTGCTAATAATTTTTAAGGCTTAAGGAATGTTAATGTTGTGCTCGATGTCAAGTAAATGATGAGCTATTGCGCTGTTAAGAGCCACTGAGCCTCACAGTCTCAAGTTCTTTGGAACATGCTCGGAAGTGTGAACATGTACTCTTCTCTTTGTTCCTCCAATGTATATGCTTTGGCACGTACATGTAAACTGGTAAATGAAGTTGGAGGTGCTGAAAAAGAAGAGCCCTTCAACTTTTGTTTGAGTGAGCAGTTCGTTTCAAATAACGTCGTCAGGTTGGCTGATGGATAAGCCGCCTTGAACGCGGAATTTATTCTGTGGTTAATTATCCCAGTTATTTCATCTCCTTTGAAGCACAAATAGAAGAGAAGGGTTTTCTTTTCATCTGTATCATATTTACACAGACGTTGGTTATGACATACTTCTCTATGAATCTCTCTAGATATGCATTTTCTTGCGGACAATTTGTAATGAAGGCAAGTTCTTCTTCCAGGCTTTCCTCATAGCAAAGTTTACGATAGCTGTCAAAATGGTTCGTAAAAGTCCCTTTTGTAACTGATTGGACAGAAACTGTTGTAGTTGAGATAAACTCCACTTCAGGTATTTCTGCAGTGGATATGTCTTTGTAATGTGCCGTCTGAGGTTCATTTAATTCCAATATCTAAGAAATGGAATTTATCTTCTGCTTCATGCTCTATTGTAATATCTATATCCTTGTGTGTTTAGTTAAACAGACCGAGTAGTTACAAAGAATGCTGACGAATGTTGCAGACACGGAATATGTCATCAATATACATGCAGAAGAGTGTGGTTTCTTTAATTGAATGTTTAAGCTTTCTATTTTCCACGTTTCCCATAAATATATCAGCCAGCACTGGACCCAGAGGGCTACCTATGGCTGCTCCATCAATTTTGCGGTACAACACAACGACAAAATCATTAACTAATAGCATATATTTCCTAGACACCGAAAGATTAAAATTATGGATGATCGTTTGACATTTAAAATAACGGGTATAAGTGCACTCACCCGAGTATCTTACAGAACTAAACGTGCAACCTGAATTCGATTGATAGTTCCTCAGTTAAATATATTCAGAAGAGAAGTTTTGAGACAGAAAAAATTGTGATTTTGAAAATTCCAACTTTGTATAACAACTGATATTATTTTACGTGTTTATTGTTTGAAATATGAATGGTCGTGGTAGCTCTCCATAACGATGACGTCTAGATTTATGTAAAAATCCCTGGTCAGAATAACAATCAAACTAAAGATGCAGTAAAACTTCAGGACTGAACAAATCTGCTAGAAAAATTTGGTAATCATTCAGTTTCATCATAGCACATTTAAATATGATGAATGCTTAGGTTTGAATAATGCTCAAAAGACTGTACATGATTATTGGACGTAACACACATCCTGGATTTCAGTGTTACAAACACTTCGAAACTATTCAGCCATATTCCAAATTTCATCAACATATGATTATTATTATTGCTGTATTGTATGCTATCAAATTTCACTGTTATTTTTCATTGATAAGAGAATTTTCTCAATGTATATATTATCGGAGTAATATTTCATTTGAAAGCTATCAACAGTAGACATTCAATGAATAATTGCTCTTCCATTCATTTGAATAAGAATGACTCACCACTCATACAAATAAATGATAAATTGCATAGTATAGTGTAGACATTAAGAACCATACATAATTTGGCACTGATCGAAAAATTTTAAAGCTTTTTAAAGTAAAATATTTTAAACAAAATATTTTGAAAAACTGCATATTTTATTGAGTATTTTGTTTTTGTTGCTTACTTGAAAAGGTTGTCAAAATGATGTAAATTAGTATCTTTTAAAGTTAAACGAGTATACACTTAAATCTGGCATTCACTTACTCTCTGAGCAGTCAGATTTAAAGATAAGCTTCCGTTGAGTTATAAAATAATCGATTAAATTGGCATATAATCATAGATCTGAATCAAGGTTACTGACTAGGGTTTAATTAGCTGATTAACTAGTATTTAGACAATCAGAGCATAAATTATGGTCACTCAGCTCAACAGTGGCTACTGGCACAAAGCAGTTAATGAAATTTAAAATATCTGGTTTACATTGTAAATATACATTCAAGTTATTTATGAACTGTACTTCTAGTCAATCACGAATAAATAGGATTAACGAAGGTATTTTCACTAGAAAAATCAATAAAAAACACTATCTGATAATAAATCGACTGCTTTTTAATTAAGGAACACTTATTTGATTCGTAATTAAAATCCGAAGTTGAAACCTACTGACCAATAACTGAAAAAATTATCTTTAATTGTAGTTAACCTAAAATTATATATATATATATATATATATATATATATATATATATATATAATGCAGTCCTGTCACTTACACTAGCCCAATGCTTCTTTTTTAAAACTTAATTTTTAAAGTTTGATGAACTGGTATTCGAGAAATTTCTAAAAACTTTCAATCATCATAACATTCTCTTGCTTTCATGTGTTAATTTTATTTTCATTATGGATCATATTTATAGAAGGAAGACTGTTTCATGTGTACAAATAGTATACTAAACTGCATAGTTTACTACGTAGTTTTAAAACTGATGAGAACGAACTATTTATTTACTTACATTAATAATACGTGTAAAATAACAAGTTGACACCATTTTCTGTACTCTTTTCTAGTTATATAATATACACTATGAATTGAAGTCCTTTGTAACCTGGTTTTGTCAATTAATGTTCACTAGATAGTTATATACGATAACCGACTGGTCTGCAAAACTGTGTTCCTTCTGACTGTAGGTATATGAAGAATTATGAGAATTACCTTGCTTGATAACAGACTCACACAATATTCATCAGTGAGTCACCATATTCGAAGTGGATTTTAATACATTATAATGCTACTGAATGTTTCCAAGTAAGTAATGAAAAGTAACAAACACAAATGTTGAACATTTATTATTAAAAAATACTCAGGATCTAGATAAAATCGTCAGATCACTTAGCTAGAAATGTCACTAGCACAATCTCCAAGTTATAAACTATTTCAAATCAAAACAATAAGCCATATTGCGTCATGATTTCGGTTATTTTTGTTTATTAACCATGTACTGAAGACTATATTTACACAAATTCGTAGTTACGTTGCATTATATGATGTGATATAATCCATTTTACTTTCACTACAATAAATATGTTCACTTGTCCTTTCGTTCAGCCCCAATTATATCACAATAAACATTATAAACCAAGTGTGATATTGTCGTATTTACTACTGAAGTGACATCCAGTGGTTTGCATTTCTAACTTCAATCAACCTTGAGTTTACCTACTTCTGTTTGAGCCGACACGTCGAATCATCCACTCTCAAACTAATGTTACTGTTGATGGACTAGGACATAAAAAGTTACTTTGTAAATGAGTTAAATTGATTATTCTATGTGATAGTTCATTCTTAACTTACAATACACTATGTTAATCCTTTCAAGTATTCATATATAGTTGAAAATGTTCTTAGTCTTGTTATGAAGTGATGTGAAAGCCCCTACGTCATTGAAAACTAAATTCTATCCTTTTTAAACAAACCAGGATTATTTTAGTTCAAAGTTAAATTTCTGGAATTGAATGTAAACAGTTTTCGAAATCCGAGCAAAGATTCTATTATTTGCACGAAATAATCAGAGACATATATATTCATATAAAAATTTCCATTGCAAATTGATTGTTTACAACAAACTAATTGCTATGTGTTACTTAAATACCAATAATATCATGATGAAAGCATTATGTACTCTGAGTACATGTATTTGTACATAGGTTCAATTGTCAACCAGTTTTCAATTGTTATACACATTAACTTTTGTTTATTACAAAAGAAAAAGATTCCTGTCAGTATATCGTAAAATAAATAATAACTTTTGACGTTTCAGTTAAAGAAAGTAATTTCTTAAGATGTACATAAAATGTAGTGTGAGAACCTGTTTTTCTTGCTATTATTCTGTTATGCATGGGAACGATAAATATAAATGAGACTGAAACAGATGAACATAAGTAATTTGTTTGAGATAGTTCCAAAATAAATGGAATCGGTTTAAAATTGCCTACAACAATAATGCATCAAAATAGAAATCAATATTAACTTTGTACTTTCAGTATACTTGTTTGAAATAAATGGAATAAAACCAGTTGTCAATACCATCACTAACTATCAGTGTGATTGTAGGCAGTTGATAGGAAACCCTAGACATCCAAACAGTTAACATTTCAAAATAATACACACGATGGCGAGTCACTTAGACTAATGAAATTCAATTAGCCCTAAAAGACTTAACAAGCATAGCATTGGTTGCTACTCAGTAATTAATCAATTGTAGATTCTTTCATATCCGTACATTAGTCATACAGATATCACGTCCACACACGTGTACCAGTGCCTTGATATACTTCCGTTAATAATTAATTATATAAGTCTCAGGACCTGGCATGTACGCGTATTGAAAAAAACTGTCCAAACTTTCGTCAAATCAAAACGTGTCTATTAGAAATAATTCCGGAAATTTGATCTCATAAAGTCCTTGTATGTTAACGTAAGAATATTGTGAGATCCTGCATATCAGTGACCATCGTCAGGACACTGATTTAATGAATATAATAAAAGCACTTAAGACCAGTTTTGTCCTTATGTGCCACTGATTTATAGATAATTTTATTCAGATTTATTTAATATTCTTTATTTCTACAAGGATAGTTTAGTAACTGATGTATCATGAGTTTGACATTAAACTACTTATCGTTATCAGTCTTTTTATTAAACAGATGTTGGTAGTATTGTTTATCAATGATTCACGTGTATCATAGTGTTTTAACTGATTTAAAAGCATACATTAAAACGGATTCTTTTCAGAGGCATGATGAACTATGACTCATGCCTTAAAATTGAATACTGTCAGCGGTAGAGTTAATCTATGAAAAAACTCTTTGTTTTACCAGTATGTTTACTAGTAATTTTATCTACGAAATATTTAGAATAATAATAATTTACTTTTTTTCCCTTGTGATTTATTACTGAGCAGCTTTCTCTCTTATCCATTCCTCTCTTCATTCTGATCGTTTGATTTTGTTTTGGGGAACTATACAAATATTCGAATCTCCTATAGCTGAAAAGAAAGACATACATAGGGACTTATGCAAAAAATAAAAATAATACACTTGAAAATACATAAATTGTATAAATAATTCAGTGTTATCGAAAACCTACTATTGTATGTCACTATTAGTAAATTGTATTTTAGTATGAGTAACTAGTTAGAGTTAACTTATTCCAGTGTGTGACGAAAATTTAATACAGACTCAGCAATTTTTGGAAAGGCCCACCCAACTAAACCATATACTTGTGGATGTTAATAACTAGTAATTAGAAAGATTTTCTAAAGTTCTAGGGTAAACACATTGTAAATTTAGTTCACCTTTGTAGTAAGTGATCCATTTATCGCCAGTACATTATATCATTCTATCATAACAGTGATAGAATTAACGTTATATGATTACGATGAGCGAGTGATTGGTTGAATTGATATAAATAGAGCGACCAAGTAAATATTATTCATTTAAACTGGGTTATTAGCTCAATCTACCGGAATTCGAATGTCAAATGACAGAATGACTTATAAAAAAGTGAGTGGTTTTATATTGAGAAACTACTTACATATAAACAAAGAACTTTATACAAATTGTGATTAAAATTCGTCTAAAAAATACACGTGACTCAGATTTCATAATTCATTTATCAGCCAATAACATTGAAGTCTAACGAAAGTTAGCGTACTATTGTTTGTTTGTGTGTGTGTGCGCGTGTGGATGTCCCTTATGTATCCATAGCATATTGTATTCCATAATGATTTAATTGCTTGGCACATTGTTAATTTGGTTGTACAAACTCTCGTATAAATTACTAATTATATAGCCTAGAAGTGGAAATATCTAGGTATTTTGTTTGTTGTTTATTTAATATTCACGTTTATATAATACTGTAGTTATCACCCAAACATTGTGTTCAGACGTTTTGTGACTGGTGTAAGTCGTTAAACTAATCCAAAAATTATCCGCAACTTTAAAAATACTGGATGTTACATTTAGTTAATCATGAAACTATCAAAATGATCTAGGGTTTTCTAGGCTCTTAGTGCATGCTTCATTTTACCATTCGCCTGGTTACAATAAAATACTTACTTACGCTTGTTACTCCTAATGGAGCATAGGCCGCCAACCAGCATTCTCCAACCCACTCTGTCCTAGGCCTTCTTTTCTAGTTCCATCCAATTCTTGTTCATTTTTCTCATGTCTATCTCCATTTCTCGGCGTAATGTGTTCTTTGGTCTTCCTCTTTTCCTTTGGCCTTGAGGATTCCATGTGAGGGCTTGTCTGGTGACGCAGTTGGGTGCTTTCCTCAATGTGTGTCCTATCCACTTCCAACGCTTCTTCCTGATTTCTTCCTCCGCTGAGATCTGGTTTGTTCTCTCCCACAGTAGGTTGTTGCTAATAGTGTCCGGCCAACAGATCCGAAGTATTTTGCGTAGACAACTGTTAATAAACACCTGCATTTTCTGGATGATGGCTTTCGTAGTTCTCCAGGTTTCTGCCCCATACAGTAGAACTGTCTTGACATTTGTATTGAAAATCCTGACCTTGGTGTTGGTTGACAGTTGCTTTGAGTTCCAGATGTTCTTCAGTTGTAAATATGCTACTCTTGCTTTGCTGATCCGCGCCTTCACATCTGCATCAGATCCACCCTGTTCATCGATGATGCCGCCCAAATATGTAAAGGTTTTTACATCTTCCAAATCTTCTCCGTCAATTGTGATTGGATTGGTGCATGCTGTGTTGTATCGGAGAATCCTGCTTTTCCCTTTGTGTATATTGAGACCTACTGCTGCTGAGGTTGCTGCTACACTGGTCGTTTTATCCTGAATTTGTTGTTGCGATTGCGATAGGAAGGCCAGATCATGTGCGAAGTCTAGATCGTCCAGCTGCATCCTAGATGTCCATTGTATCCCGTGCTTCCCTTCAGATGTTGACGTCTTCATGATCCAGTCGATCACCAAGAGAAAGAGAAAGGGTGAGAGTAAGCAACCTTGCCTGACACTGGTCTTTACCTCGAACGAGTTTGTCAATTGTCCTCAATGCATAATTTTGCAGTTCAATCCATCATATGAACTCTGTATGATATTGACTATCTTCTGAGACACGCCATAGTGTCGAAGAAGTTTCCATAGTGTTGTTTTGTCCACGCCATCAAATGCCTTTTCGTAGTCAATGAAGTTGATGTAGAGTGATGAATTCCATTCAATTGATTGTTCCACAATGATCCGTAGAGTTGCGACTTGGTCTGTACACGATCTATCCTTACGGAATCCTGCCTGTTGGTCACAAAGTTGGGCGTCTACGCAGTCCTTCATGCTGCTTAACAATACACTGTTGAAGACTTTTCCCAGTATTGAGAGAAGAGTGATGCTCCTGTAGTTATCACACTTGCTGAGATCGCCTTTCTTTGGTATTTTGATCAGAAGTCCTTCTTTCCAGTTTGTTGGTACTTGTTCCTCATCCCAAATCTTATTGAAGAGAATGTGGAGTATCCTTGCAGTTGCCGCTACGTCTGCTTTCAGTGACTCTGCTGGAATGTTGTCTGGTCCTGCTGCTTTGCCACTCTTGATTTGTCTGATGGCCATGCTGATTTCTTCAATTGTTGATGGGCCAACATTGATTGGGAGGTCAGTGGGTGCTGCTTGGATGTTGGGTGGGTTCAGTGGAGCTGGTCGATTCAAGAGTTCTTTGAAGTGTTCTACCCACCTGTTTTGTTGCTCTTCAATGTTGGTGATTACCTCGCCTTCCTTGCTTTTCACTGGTCGCTCCGGTTTACGGTGATTTCCAGAGAGTTTCTTTGTTATGTCATACAGTTGTCTCATGTTTCCTTCTCTTGCAGCCTTTTCCGCCGTCGTTGCTAGATCTTCCACATATTTACATTGTCGGTTCTGATGCTCCTCTTCACTTGTTTGTTTACTTCTGTGTATTCAGCTTGTGCCTTGGCTTTTTCTGCTCTTGGTCGACTGGTATTGATTGCTGCTTTCCTGTTCCTTCTTTCTTGAATCTTATCCAGTGTATCAACAGTGATCCATTCCTTGTGGTGGTGCTTCTTGTGGCCCAGGACCTCATGACATGTTGAAGTGATTGCCTCTTTGATCCCCTTCCAGTTGCTCTTCACAGTAGTTCCTTCTCCATTGAGTAGATCATGAAAGGCCTGGAACTTATTGCTGAGGGCTATCTTGAATTTGTTGAGTTTGTTAGTATCCTGAAGAAAGGCCGTATTGAACTTTTGTGATATTGTCCGCCCCGTTGTCCCGTGCTTCTTGAGTTTCAATTTCATCTTGGCGACCAGCAAGTGATGATCTGATGATATATTAGCTCCTCTCTTGGTTCTCACGTCTTCCATCGTCCTCCCGAACGTTTTGTTGATGCAGATATGGTCGATTTGGTCTTGTGCTGTATGATCCGGTGAAGTCCATGTGGTTCTGTGAATGCGCTTATATGGGAATATGGTGCCGTCCATGACCAGTTTATTGAAGGCACATAGGTTTGCAAATCTCTTACCATTTTCGTTCCTTTCTCCCAGTCCGTGTCGTCCCATCATGTCTTCATATCCAGTGTTGTCCGTTCCAACCTTGGCGTTGAAATCTCCCATCAGAATGGTCAGGTCCTTTGCTGGGCACTTCTCGACGATTGACTGTTGCCTATTGTAGAATTGATCTTTAGCGTCTTCATTGTAATCGTTGGTAGGCGCATAGCATTGGATGATGTTCATTAAAATGCCCTCTTTCTTTGTTTTGAACGAGGCTTTGATGATCCTTGGTCCATGAGATTCCTATCCTATAAGCGCATTTTGCGCTTGTTTAGACAGCATCAATGCGACTCCTTGTGTATGTGGGGCATTTTCTTCTTCATGGCCGGAGTATAACAGAAGCTCCCGTGAAGTTAGTCGTTGTTATCCAACTTGCGTCCAATATGTTTCACTGATCCCAAGCCCCTCTAGGTTGTATCTTCTCATTTCTGCAGCAATTTGGAAGGCTCTCCCGGTGTCCCACATTGTAAGAACATTCCATGTGCTTAAATAAATGGTTGCTCTGGTTGTCAGAAGGGGCATCGGCCTCGTAACTTCCGAAGGAATTCGGCTTTCATTATGAGGCGTCATAGTTCTTTTAAATGAAGACCTTCTGACTCCCAGGGCAGAGTTTAAAAGGTTTGAATAATTTTTTCTGGCTAGCGTTTTTTTAGCGAGTTAGTTTTCTACGGGATGAGGACGCTAACCCCATGCCCAACCCTCTTCCTTTATCCGGGCTTGGGACCGGCAGTAGCCCCGGAGGGACTCCAGGCGGAGTTAGGTTTAATATTCACTACAGGTCAATTGAAATCCATGTGTAAATGATTACATAGTGATCAGTTATAAAATAAGTTTTCAGATAGCAGCTATAATTTTTCAGTTAGCAGTTTTCTCATAATCACATGATACACTTAGTGAACATAATATTCACTAAAGTAATTACTAGTTATCTCTACGGAATCCTAATAGAGAAATTGGTACCAATGGGCAGTACTTGCCACAACACGCAACAGAAATCGTAAATCTCTATATCTGCCTACTACTAAAATCAAGATTCATCATAGAAACATGGAATTCAGTAAACAGACGTACCGTCCTATTATACAAATATATACACGCAGTCATGGGAAACTGAAGACTAATCAATATTTGAAGCTCTACGTATGAATAGATGGTCTCCCATCTCACTACTACACTGACTGCCATTAGACCACAGACAAACAAAATTCAAATTTAATGATAAACTTGAGTTATGAAATACATTTTAATTTAGTTGATAAGAGTAGTTTCTTTAACTTAAATTTTATACCTTTGGTCAATAAAAGGTCATTACGAAGGATCGTACTAACCAAAAAATGTATACTTAGTCACTTATTGATTTAAGGCTGTAAAACTATGTTGGGACTCAAAAAGTGTTAACTTTTTACCTTAAAAAAAAACTGAAACGGTAATTGTTTCCTTTTCATTACTGTGTTATTTTACGTTTGCAAAAAATAAGTAAACACATGACTCCAACAAGCAGAATTCAATCAACCATGTATTAATACTTTCTATGTCCAATAAGCCACAACCTCCCCCCTCATTCTTTTATCGTGACCATCATCACATTTAAACTATACGAAGTTAAAAAATTTAGGGAAATTGGTAAACAATGTACACTATGATCGTTTGGAAACCTTTGATTGTCGTGTTATATTACATATATTTTAGTTTTTTGATAGCTTGAACGCATTTTAAGCTTCATTAAGTTGTATCATGAATCTAATGATTAAGTATTTCGAAATTTTTAATTCTAATCCAGTAATAGAAGACGATATCTATCTACATAACCTATGAGGAAAGTAGATTGCACGAGATATTAAGAAACAATTTAATTAAAAATTTCACACTTTTCAGTTCAGTACTGAATTGATTTACTTCAAACTATTGATTGAACTCATTAACCACTATATAAATAACACAAACAAATGAAAACAGAAAAAACTTACATTGAATCAATTTGGTTCTCAATCATTTAAACCACAATGCGATTGGAAGTAAATAAGTTTATGATAACACTATAGTTTTTTTAATCAATTTTGGAACGATAATACATTCTGGAATGAACTCAACGGAAACAAATCAAATCCCTGAGGTGTTCATTTCATGATAGTTACGTAATAAAGATGTATCCAACAAGGTTTGCAGTTAACTAAGCACAACGCATTCTGTGAACTATACTCCAGGAATCTAACTACTCGTAAGATGACATTGAGATCCGTAAGTTTTATCCTTCGCCGAACAAACTACGATGCCTTTTATGAGCATATGAATAGTTTCATAAATAGCTCTACATAGCTTCTTCACTGTTTTTTATAGATTCGTAGGTAAATGAATGAATGGAATTAAAAGAACAACGTTTTGAGGATCATAAATGACCATACAAATTTGCTTAGTCATCTTTAAGCATTAAGTGCCACAGTTATTCCATGCGCCATTACAAACATAAATCGCTTTGGGGAAACGAATAGCAGATGAAAAAGAAATGACTTTTATTAACTTAGGTCATCAATCCATTAAGTTCTCTGTGTTGGTTGGTGTTATTTCTTTGCCACTATAGTGCTATATACTCTGTCTTATGAATGTAGGCCAATCTAAGGACTCTGTGAAAACATCTTTCCCAAGTTACTTTATAAATTCCACACTCAAATCTTGGGGATGTTACCTTAAATTAAACTGGTTTGATTATATAGTTAAAGATAGCTTTCTTAACAATTGTAGTGGGATTTAAAAACAGTGACTGAGAGAACCCCCTTTCTTCAGCTAAGTGGTACTGAGGTACAGCTAGTTGAATGAGAGTAATTCACAATGGAGTATTTCAACGAATTAAATTTAAAATGCCTAATCAAAATGAATTATAATCAGTAAGCATATTAATCTTACAGCAGAATTTTTATTCATTTATTCAAGCCAAACTATTACACATACATAATTCTGACTGATTTATTTTCAGTAAGTGAAACAAAAAATTTAGTTGTTGATCCGTATTTTACTCGTGAACATCCAATACAGTTTTTTTTCGCCCCCACGAATTAAAAAGATTGGTTAAACAGGTAAGACAAAAAAGTTGGATTCTTGATTTATTTGAATACATTTAGTTACTTATGTACACATACAAACAGACAATATGTATATCACACATGTCCATATATAAAAAATAGAAACGAATCGAATTTTTCAACAAGGCATTCTTACTACCCTGATCAAGGCAGATATAACACATCATGATCGTCAGTAATCATTTTTGATTGTTTTTAATGACTACAACAAATCGGAATATTTAATCACAATGAGTCATGTATAGACAAATATGCATAATATGAAATTACACTATAACTATATTCACCTACACATACAATAAAATCAAATGGCAGATTAGATAATTCTATGAATTATTTGGGAAAATGAATTCACACTACAATCATATATTCAAAGTCTAAGTATTTATTTATTCTACTATCAATACTACCAATATGAACAAAACTTGTTCCTATCTTAAGTGACGTCTTTATGTTCATTTAAGAAGAAAAAAATGAAACAACACAACATAATGTCTATTTTATGTGTACCTGGGTCATGTCCTACTTAGAATTTAGTTTGTAACCAGCATTTAGAATAACAACACTTGAATTTCTTTGATATATACTACTGATATAACGATAACCAACATAAAATAGAATAAACTCAGACAAAAGAAGATAATACTCTTTGAAGTAAGTTTTCACAGTTGCTATTTTTACTAAGAATGTTGTTTTATGTTGCAAAAATATGTGTGGTCGATTTCAAAAATTGAATATTCATAACATGGTGAAAATTTTCAATATACAAGGTTTCTGTGTTTTTATGTATGATATTAAAAACCAACGATCCGACTCATATGCATATTGGTTTCATCATGGTCAATAGCGCTACATTTATGGGGTTTCAAGTGTATCTTGCGAATTGATGAATAAAAGCGGATGCACGTTGTAAACAACATACCCACTGACTTAATTTTCGATGACTACACGAATTATTTTTACAAAGTCATTTACATCATACTGTGAAATACAAAATAATCGTTCACGCATTTAGACATAGTTATTATATACTATCTAATTGTTTATATGTATATTTTATTTTTAAATGTATATTTCTCAATAACTTGTAAGTGGTCGGTAGATTTCCTCACTTACACACTGACAATTATTTTGATGCCAATCGGTCATAGAGTATTGACTAATATCATTCTATCTAGTCGTCAATCGTAATGAAATTTCACCGATTTAGTCTGGACTGTTCATGATGATAGAAACAGATATATTATAATCGAACAGCGAACTGACAGGTGACAACTTACATGACTTTCAAGACGGGAATATCTTTATAAGCGCTTCCGATCATTCAAGACGGTTTTGAATCGAGTGGTATGTCTGTATTTACCCATCAACTACAGTTGATTTTGTCAGTTTATTTTCAAACTCGATAATCAAACTTAAGTTGAAACTAATCATTTTATATAAGGCGAATGGGTAGTTATTAGGAAATCGTTGGGTTTATTCTTAAATTATTAAACAGCTCGTATAATGCGATAGATTGAATTCCATATTATGGGACTTTGTCAATTTCTCATGGTATCAAAGTTTCCTCTACCTATCCCCTAAACACACTGAGCTAACTACTTTATCTCCATCGAAATGTTTTAGGAAAATAAAGATTACTAGGTTAGATATTGATCCATTTATCATTGATATATATCAAAAATTCTTTTAAAGTAACAAACAAATAGCTGTATTTTTGTCGAAAATCCCTTAATCTTTACGCTTTACTGAATAAAAATCTTATTATTATAAATTCGGTAACACAACTACTGATGAACTTCATATATTGATATATTCTTACTTCACTGATATACACTGAGAAGTAGACTCAACAAAACTCAAAGATGAATGTTTGTAAAAGCCTTACTTATTTTATACCAAATAGCTTGGTTGTAAAATTATAGATCGTAGATAATTTGATTTCGTTATGCCTATTTAAACTTATGCATAAATTTCGCTGAAATACTTTCAAATGTTTAATAATCGACTATGAACTGAACATTTCGAAATGTATCTAACACTACATATTACTTAGTATGGTCGTTTACTGGTATAGTTAAAGTGTACGGGAAATATGGAATACTAATTAATAAATGTTTATATGATCAAGTAAATTTGTATATCTCAATTTAATCAGAAGGGTTTGAATATTGTGTAATTACAACTCAGTGATTTTCATTAAAACCTATTTGATTTTATTTTATGCACAAATATATTAAACAATTTTTAACCAAGCTGTTGCATGATTTTTAGACATACAAAAATTACTAACCAACAAAACTTGTTTTTCAAGTGGTCAACGCTTATTTTTCTGTTAACTATGCATCAGTGAAATTACGATCAGTAGATTTGTTATCATTATAGTATTGATCAGAACTTTCAGACTTCATAGTCTAATATGAATGTAAGATATCAAAGGTTTTTGTAAGTGCATTCTTATTAGTCTCACGTTTGTGTTTAGTCTTTTCCTATCCATGTAATTTTAAGGGGAATATACCACTATTTGTCAGTTATAAATAACGTGAATGAATTGTGTTGAGTAAAAGAACTGTTACCTCACAGATATTCATTTTATTCATTTGTTGAATCCTCCGAGCTTTTTCTAAATTAATCTGGAAGAATAAGAATAAACCGAGTTCGAAAGTTAACTCATACGATCCTGTACATTATCAATAAGTCAGTTTCCAGTCTACTGTAAAAAAAGTGATAAGAAACTTAATTTCGACGCTATTAATATTACGATAATCCAGATTTTTTTCAAATTATACGTAGGTTGTTCTGGGATCATTGTCCTTTAGACGTGACTTGTTTATTTCAAATACAATTTTCTAATCTCTAGACGAATTTGACGTCTGTAAACAACATGCTGTAAACAATTTGCCTAATTCTCAGTTTATTGGAAATGATTAAGTTCAACTCTAGTTATGATGTTTACGTGCTATTTCTGCCCATAAGAATCCAAATTGAAACTTTATGACGAAAAGTGAATATTTTCTTTGTATTGATTTGTTTAGTAAAATTTGTGTCAAATAATCGATTGCGAGTATTTCTTTTAAAAAAAAAGTAATTTGACCAACTGTAAAGCATCAATTTTAAATTTAAATTTAGGTATTGGAGAAATAATCAATATAATCGTCGACATTGTGCTGTTTTATATTTTTTTACAATTAAATTACTGTTAAACTGACTATATATCATCAGTTATACCTGAGTATTATCCGTGGAATATACAAGTTTTGGTTAAAGTAATAATAATAACAATCCTACATTAGTTAGCCGTAGATTATAACAAAAACAAATATGGCTAAATCTTTTCAAAAGCCTAATAGCTACTATGAAATGTGTCTTACGTCATATGACCGAGGGCAATCAAATAAATACTTTATAATATGGTTTATACCTACAACTGTCAGCTATAAAAGTGAGTGAGAAATTATGTCTTACAGTTATTATGATTATATTAGATAAATTGATTTATTACTTCAGATATTAGGCTATATTTGAGTACAACCTGAAGCGTGTTTGGCAAGTAACATTACCGGCTAAGATGAAAGCGGATCAGGACAATCGTTTAAATAATCAACCATAGCCTTAAAAGACAGATTGTAAGTATTTACATAAAAACATGATTTTAGTTTTTATAAAATACGGATAAAAATCCTATTACACTATTATTTAGATATATGGTGTTTAGATGATGAAACACCAAGCTGGTAAAAGTAGCAATACCTAGTTTAAATATAACACCTATATGAGGTTAGATTAAACAGACTATAAAGACGTGGATATCTTTTTTAATCATTGTTTTCTCGGTGAAGAACACAACACAAGATTACACTGAATGGTGTAGGAATCCAAAGACAGAATTTGGCTTGGTGGCAGATAGCTTAGATGA